CGTTAACGAACGAGACCTCAACCTGCTATATAGCTACGCGGGGACCTTTCCTCGTGGCCAGCTTCTTAGAGGGACTGTTGGACGACTGGCCAACGGAAGTTTGAGGCAATAACAGGTHTGTGATGCCCTTAGATGTTCTGGGCCGCATGCGCACTACACTGATGAATCCAACGAATCGCTTGCCAGGGTCGAAGGGCCCGGGTAATCTTCTTAAGGTTCATTGTGACGGGGATAGATTGTTGTATTTATCGATCTTGAACGAGGAATGCCTMGTAAGCGCGAGTCATCAGCTCGCGCTGATTACGTCCCTGCCCTTTGTACACACCGCCCGTCACTCCTACCGATAGAATGGTCCGGTGAAGTGTCTGGATTGCGGTGATCTCGGCGGTTTGCCTTTGTGGGTGCTGTGAGAAGTTCATTGAACCTTATCATTTAGAGGAAGGAGAAGTCGTAACAAGGTTTCCGTAGGTAAACCTGCGGAAGGATCATTGACACGTGAATGGCCTATCTTCGGGGTGTGGGACGCTGGCTTGCTCGCCCTTCCGCCGCCCTTTGCCCCCATCCTCCCTGCATCCGCTTTTCTCTTCCGTTTCAGCACCATCTTGGGCTTAGTGCCCAGCTGGCGGCTGGCCCGGCGCTGAGGGGCGCGTGGTGTAGGTCGAGGGTGGGGGGAGTGGGCAGGGTCCGGGGCCTTGTGGCATTTCTCCCCCTTCATCCCGTCTCGCCTCCGCAGGTTGTTACCTCGGCCCAGCCACACTCTCGACTTCTGGTCGGGATGGCGGTTGGTCCGGGCACGGACAGCCCTGCGGGAGGGTCAGGGGCGGGATGTCGGGTGATGGGGGCTGTCCTCGGCCTGCGTACCTCCGCTCCTTCCTGTCTCAGCTTTGTCCAGACCTCCTTTCCATCCCGGCCTCGACCTCGGCTTCGTGCGGAGCTTGTGGCCTCTTTGGGGATCGAGGGTCGTGGTACAGGCTAGGGGCGGGGTGTGTTGCGGGGTCCTCGGCCCCTCCCCGTTTCATCCTGCCTTCCTTCCCGACGGGGTTCTCCTTTCCGGACAGATCGTCGTCCGACGCAATCGAGGTGGTCTGAATCTCGGGGTGGAGGGCCGTTGGGGGAGGGTTTTGGTCGTGAACGGAGTGGTGTCGGGTTGGGGGGGGGGAGGAGACAGCGCTTGCACCCTCGTTGCCCCGCTGCTCCCCGGTGCCCTGCCTGGCCCCCCCAACGGGGGGTCGGGCGGGCCTGTGGCAGCGAATGGTGGCGAGGGCTTTGCAACTTCTTATTGATGTACCTGCTCTGATTTGTCGCTGTCCGGGTTGACGGCCCCCTTCTGTTCTGGTCGAGGGGTCGGTCCTGTCGTAACGGCACCATATTGTAGAACTCTYGGCAAACGAATATCTTGGCCCTCGCAAGGATGAAGAGCGCAGCGAAATGCGATACTATTGTGAATTGCAGAAATCCGTGAGCCATCGATACCTTGAACGCACGTGGCGCCGAAGGCTTGTGCAGAGGGCCAGCCCGCCTGAGCATCATTGGATTCCTCACGACCTCAGCACCTTCCGTTTCGGAGAGTGGTGGGGTCCGTGGTCGTGGCTTCCCTCGCTTCCCACTTGGAGAGCGTCGATAGCCTGAAGTGGAAGGGAATTGGAGAGCATTCCGAGCGGGCCTGTGGGGCCGCAGCAGAGAGTGGTGTGTTTCGCTCCGCCCTGTTGTTGCCCTCCAGCACCCGTTTGTGGGTGGCGGTCTTCGTTTCCCTGAAAACGGCACGTAAGGTCGTCCCTCTAGTTTGTGTGGTCGCCGCGTTCCATTCGCTCCCATCAGCTTGAGGTGTGAAACGGTTTTCACTTTTAGCCAGTAGCGGATGCAGTACCCAGGGTTCGATCCCTAGACCTCAGCCTACCCATGTACAGTACCTGTGTAGACCCCGAGAATTGAACGTGTGACCTGTGTATTTGTCGGCAGTTGTAGGTCCATAGACAGCAGGGGTTCGATCTGTAGGTCTATAGCGTAGGAGTCTTAGTGAGTACTGGAAGCTTAGCTGTAGACCTTCTAGAAGGTAGGCAAGTGGGCAAGTGGTCAGGAGGTGAGGCAAGTGGTGGACTAAACTGCAGTGCAACAACAGTGCAACGACGGTAGGATAGCGGTTTGTCCACAATCAGTCAACGGAAGGTCCAGTCAGTCCCAGTCCGGTCCAGCACGTACCACAGGGGGATTGTAAGCACCAAGGGCCGATGGCAAAGGGCAGACCAACGAGAGTCTGAAGTATAAATCAAGAGGCAGCGCCCAGCCATTCATTCATTYCTGCGTGAGCCATGCGGAAGCGCTGCCACAGCG